GGTTTCCCCACTTCAGCCTGCAAACCCAGTTGATGGCACTTCCATTCTTCCAGAAACTCAGCACGAAAACCTTGGAATTGTTGATCACACCTCCTTTGTTTCTCCCCCACATATGCTTTGTCAGTCAGATCTCATCTGCTCCACCTTCAAACATACTCCAAATTCAGCCGTGTCTCACTACCTCCCTTGCGACACTCTGGTCTAAGCCCTCACCTATTTTGACTTCATCTGTTGCAGTGAACTCCTCACTGGGATTCCTGCTTCTGCCCTTGGCCCCACATACAGGGGGATCTTGTTAACACAAAAGTCAGGCCCGGCCGATGTGGCTCAGCGGTTGAGCGTTGACCCATGCACCAAGAGGTCACCAGTTCAATTCCCGGTCAGGGCACATGCCCAGGTTGTGGGCCCAATCTCCAGTGAGGGGGCATGCAGGAGGCGGCCAATCAATGTTCTCTCTCATTGATGTTTCTATCTCTCTCTCCCTCTCCCTTCCTCTCTCAAAGCAATAAAGAAAAAATTTTAAAACAAAAGTCAGATCATAGGGGTGCATTCTTTTGATTCAGTGTTTCGGGTTTCTTTGGATATAGTCCCAGAAGTAGAATTGCTGGGTCATAAGGCAGTTCCATTTTTAATTTTTTGAGGTAACTCTATACTGCTTTCCACAGTGGCTGCCCCAATCTGCATTCCCACCAGCAGTGCACAAAGGTTCCCTTTTCTTTTCATTCTTGCCAACACTTGTTTGTTGATTTATTAATGCTAGCCATTCTGACAGGTATAGGATGATGTCTCATTGTGGTTTTAATTTGCATTTCTCTCTCTTTTTTTTTTTTTTGAGGACATCTTTTTATTTTTTGTTCAGATAGAGCGGGAGGGAGAGAGAGGAAGAGAGAGAAACATCGACATAAAAAGTACACATTGAGTGGCTGCCACCCACACGACCCAACCAGGGCCGGGGACAAACTGCAACCGAGGTACATGCCCTTAGCGGGAACTGAACTCGGGTCTCTCTGGACCCCAAGCCGACACTCTAACCGCTGAGCAAAACCAGCCAGGGCTAATTTGCATTTCTCTGATAATTAGTGACATCAAGCATCTTTTCATATGTCTGTTGGCCATCTGTATGTCCTCTTTGGAGAAGTGTCTATTCAGGTCCTCTGCCATTTCTTAATTGGATTGTTTTGTTTTTTTGGTGTTGAGTTTTATAAGTTCTTTATAAATTTGGAAATTGACCCTTTATCAGATGTATCATTGGCAAATATGTTCTCTCATTCAGTGGGTTTTCTTTTCATTTTGTTGATGGTTTCCTTTGCTCTGCAGAAACTTTTTAATTTGATGTAGTCCCATTTGTTTCTTTTTTCTTTTGTTTCCCATGCCAGAAGAGATATAGCAGAAAAAATATTGCTATGAAAAATGTCTGAGATTTTACTGCCTTTTTTTTTTTTTATCCTCATCCGAGGACATTTTTTGATATTTTGTTCAGATAGAGTGGGAGGGAGAGAGAGAGAGGGAAAAAAAATCAACGTCAAAGGGACATATCGAGTGGTTGCCACCCACACGACCCAACCAGGGCCGGGGACAAACTGCAACCGAGGTACATGCCCTTAGCGGGAACTGAACCCGGGTCTCTCCGGACCGCAGGCTGACGTTCTAACCGCTGAGCCAAACCGACCAGGTCTTACTGCCATTTTTTCTTCTAGGAATTTTATGGTTTCAGGTCTCACATTTAAGTCTTTAATCCATTTTTTATTAATCCTCACCTGGGGATATTTTTTCCATTAATTTTTAGATAGAGTGGAAGGGAGGGAGGAAGGGTTTATGAAGCATTTGGGAGGGAACAGAATCCAGGTGAAATATGGGGATGATGGAATGCAGACTGAAGGCGGGATGTGTGGAGTCGAACCCTGGGCAAATATGCAGGCAGAATCCTGGTGGAATAATAGGGGGCAGAGCGGAATTCAGGTAGTATATGGAGGAGCCCCAGGAGAACATGGGGGCTGCTGTAGGGAAAAGGGGAGTATGCTGTGCCCCCCCCCTCAATCTGGGAGAGCAGGATGCAAATAAGGGACTTGGGGAGAGAAGGGGAGGAGAGGAATGGTTTGGGGAATGTGGGGGGGGCAGGACTGGATGGAATATGGGGGGAGGGAGGTTCTGCAGAGGGAAGGGAAGGGGAGCTCAGAACCTCAAGTCCATGTGGAGAATGAGTGTTGAGGAGTGGGACTGATTACATCAGCAGTTGTTGAGGGCTCACGACAGGCCTAGAAGAGGGGATGGGGAGGGAGGGAGGGAGTGGGCAAGGTTTGTGGAAGTGAGGGAGGCAGGTGTGTTAAGGGAAGGTTGAATTCCAGGAGAATATTTAGGGCTTTAATATCTGGTGACTGAGGTGGAGGCTAATGTTTCCAAGGCACTTAGATGTGGAAAGGCCCTTTTAATCTAGTGCAGGGCTGCTATCCGTGGGGTGAAAATGGGGGCTCATGTAGGGAAGTGGGGAAGGAAGAGGGCTGGAAGGTTGGCAGCAGGGATGGGGTGGGGCGGGCGCCCTTCCTCATCTGTCACCTTTGCTGGGAGTTGCGGACCACAAGTTGGGTGGTGAATGGGACTGAAATTGCGCTGCTCCTCGCTTCTCCGGTGTTCTGCAGCTGCCTCCAACTCCTTGGTAACCAGGGAGGCAGACCGCTGATTGGCTCATGGAGTCTGAGGGCGGGTGGTCAGTGGGCGGGTCTAGGGCACCAAGTCCGACAAGTCCAGCGCTGCTTGGTGCCTGCTTTGGGGACAAGGGGATGAGGAATATGTTGAAATATGTAGCTGTGGGGACCTCTGAGCCGCCTAGAGAATGAAAGCACAATTGCAAGAGTGAATTTTCCAGTGAAAGAGGTCTCCAGATTTTATGAGTCCCTCCAAGACCAGAGACCTCTGGCCAAATAAAACCAAGAGCTTCGGTGTAGGGACTGGTGCCTGTCAGGATGTGTGTGGCTCAGACAGTTGTCGTTGGTCTGGAAGTGGTATTCTGGGAGCCACTGAAATTAATGGCAAAAGTTATAGGCCTATTCATTTACCTGGGGAAGGTTCAGAAGTTTCATTAGATTCTCAAAGGCTCAAGGGCTGTAGAAAGGTTAAAAATCACTGACCTAGAGTTTCAGGGCTCATCTCTTTTCCCCTCACAATGTGACATTTTCCAATACCAGACCTTAGGAAGGACTTCCTGGGGAAAGTGTGAGGACTAGAGTAGGCAATGGGGGAGAGAAGGAGATCAGGCATTGGAGGGGTCCCCATGATCTGGGTTGAGGGCAGCCCTGGGTGGCTGTATCTTTGGAGCAGCTGTGGGACTCTGGACAGGGCCCTTTTTCTCGCGGAGTCTCAGTTTCCCTGTCTGTACACTGGGGAGGGAATGGGCTTGCCTTGTCTCTATAGTCCCTTTCAAGTTCAGAAACAACAAAGCAATGATAATAATAATGATGATGATGCCAGTATGTACTGCGTGCTAGCTGTGTATCAGGCAGGGCTCAGTTTCTCCAAGCATTTTAGCATGATTAATTCATTCACTCCTTACACCAGTGTAAGGAGATGGGCACCGTTATCCTACTTAGTTGTCCTCATGACCGTCGTCTGGCTCGGTACACCTCTGCTCTCATCACTTACCGCCCTCCCTCCCGCATGCTGCCCTCCTTGCTATTCTTAGAACCAACTTGGAACTACCCACCTTGGGGCCTTTACCTGGCTGTTCCGTCCGCCTGGACACTCTTCCCCAGGTATTCTGTCTCCCTCTCTCCAGGCCTCTGCTCTGGCCACCTTAGCCAAAAGAGCAGCCCTCACCCCGCAGCATTCACTTGCCCCATTGCTTGACTTTTTTTTTTTTTAATCCTCACTTGAGGATATTTTTTCATTTATCTTCAGACAGAGTGGGAGGAAGAGAGAAAGAGAGAGAGATTGATGTGAGAGAGACACTCAATTGGTTGCCTCCTGCACAACCCCAACCAGGGCCAGGGTCCAAACCACAACCAAAGTACGTGCCCTTGACCAGAATCGAACCCATGACTCTTTGGTCCACAGGCTGACACTCTAACCACTGAGCCAAACTGGCCAGGGCACTACTTGATATTTTTATACCTCTGACTGTTGCCACTCTCCTGAGGGTAGGGCCATAATCTAATCTGCAGATCCCCAGCACCCAGAGTGGTGATGAGGAGTCTGGATCCAAGAGAGGGGGAGTAACTTGCTGATGTCTGTGCAGATAGCTGAACCCAGGCAGCCTGGGGCTCCCGTTCTGAACCAGCCCCTAGAACCCAGGCTGAGGCGGAGGCCTGACTCTCTCCCAGCTCCGTGGAGAGCCAGCAGTGAGTAGTAGCTCTGTTGGCTAAGAGAAGGTACTTCTGCTTGCAACAGCCTAATTAATAAGATCAATGTTTAATTCAATGTGAATGATTTAAGCGTCTCATTGATAATATATAGCATTGGCTGTTCTCTCAGCGTGGACCACTTTCCCGGAAGAGTCACGTGGTTGGCTCCCTGGCCTCCTGCAGTTTTCCGCTCAGATGTCAGCTTCTCACGGAGGCCTGCCCTGACTCCCTGTTTGGAATCTCTGCCCCACCTGACCTCCATACCTCCGTCCCCTTTCCAGCTGGATTTTTCTCTCCAAATGTTTGCTGAATGAAGGAGTGAATAATAATAAATGTGTAATGAGTATAAGGATGAATAAGTAACTAATAGTATTAATCATGATTCTCTTGTTGGCAATTATACATTCTATCAGCCAGCATGTATCGGGCATAGTAATGTGCAGGTTCTAAGTGCTTTTATGTGTATTGTCCAATATAATCCTCACGATGACTCTGTGAGGTTGGTGCCATTTTGTACCCATTTCCCAGCTGAGGAAACTGAGGCAAAGTCTCTTTCCTAAGGTGCCACAGCTGGTAAGTGGTGGAGCCAGGAAATGAATTCTGACCTTCCAGCTCCTGAGCCTGGGTCTCAGCCCCTCTGGGTCTCTGTCTCATCCCCTTCTCTAGTGACACTGGCCATGGACCAGCCAGCCATCCTGCAGGCGGACTACGTCTTCCGGGGTGTGGAGCATGCCGTGCGCGTGGTGGTTTCTGGACAGGTGCTGGAGCTGGAGGTGGAGGACCGGATGACGGCTGACCAGTGGCGGGGCGAGTTCGATGCCAGCTGTGAGTGTGCCTGCCTGGGCTGGGCTTGCCTGTGTTCCCCCAAGATCAGCTTCTGGAAGATGATGCCAACTGGGATCCTGCCCACCTGCCTCTTCTACCTGACCAGAAGCTCTAAGGTGGGGCGGGGGTGTAGGCCTCATCCCTCAGGCCAGAGGCACTGGAGTCAGGGAAAGTTGGAAAGCTTGGATGCATTGCCCTTGGGTGGGGCAGGTGGTCAGACCTCAGGAAGGACTTTTCTCCCCACCTAGTCATTGAAGATTTGACTCACAAGACAGGGAACTTCAAACAGTTCAACATCTTCTGTAACATGCTGGAGTCGGCCCTTACCCAGGTAGGGACCAGGGGTAGGGGCTGGGGGAGGTTTCTGTCTCCTGGTTTCTTGGGGGTTAGAGGCCCATCTGATGTATGCAAGACCTTCTGTATTCTCTTTCATTGAAGGGACAGGGCTATCTCTCTTCTTCTTTACCAAAGAAATGGCTTATTTAGATTCTAATGAGAGTTATTCTCAGGTAGAAAATTCAGGTCACAGAAATGTAAAGAAGAAAGGAAAAATCACTTCTGATACTCGCTCCTGGTAATTTTTTCATGAAAATCTGGTTGTTTCTTCATTTCTCTATTCATTTGTGAATCTTTGTGTGTGTGTGTGTGCATGCGTGTGTGTGCACATTTACAGATCTATAATTATACGGGGGGGCAAAAGTAGGTTTGCAGTTGTAAATATGCAAAACAGTTTATTCTTGTATTATTATTTATTAATTGTTGTATTATTTTTCATACCAACAACTGCAAAGCTACTTCTGCCCTGCCCTGTATGTAGTTGGTATATTTCTCAAGGTATTCTGTCACCTGCTTTTTTGAAAGATTCAACAATATTTCATAAAAATTTAGTTACATTAGTGAATATCATTCATTTCATTATACTGTTGTTGGCATGGGAATACAAGAGTGAACCAAGAGAAAACCCCCTGCCTTCATGAAACTGACATTCTAGTCGGGGAGACAGTCAGTTGAGAAGAAAATATCAAATAGTCAAAATTAATAGGAAAAAACAACTGGTTGAAACAGAGTGACAAGGAATGCTATTTAGATGTCATTTTAAAACTGTGAATTACATTATTTCTCTGATTAGAGATAAAATATGCAGTCATGTAATTGTGACAATAGTATGACTTAGAAAGTGAGAGTCCCTCCCCTGGCTGGTTTGCTCAGTGGTTAGAGCGTCAACCCGCAGACCAATGAGTTGCAGGTTCGACTGGTCAAGGGCACCAGTCCCTTGACTGGTTGGGGATCGTCCCTGGCCCTAGTCAGGGTCATGCAGGAGGCAACCAGTTGATGTGTCTCTCTCACATCGATGTTTCTCTCCCTTCCTCCCTCCCACTCTCTCTGAAGAAAAATGGAAAAATATCCTTGGGTGAGTATTAAAAAAAAAAAAGAAAGTGAGAGTCCTTTTCTGTAAAAATTTTGGTAGTAGAGGCATAATAACATAATAGCCAAGAGCACGGAATCTAAATTCAGATTCATCATTGCCACTTACTAGCTGGGAGCCTGGGCCCGTTACTTCCCCTCAATGCCTTAGTTTCTTTAATGTGGGGATGATCGTTGTCCCCATTTTATAGTGTTGTAAAAATTAAATGAATTATATGAAAAAACTTAGAATGATGCCTGGCTTAGAATAAGTGCAATATAGGTATCGTCTATTTTTATTATTGACAACTTTTGAGTTTGTCGTCCTTGTTAATGGTGGCATAGTATTCCATGTATCCATTTATTATGATTTCTCTAACTCAGTGGTTCTGAAACAAAGGGCCTTGGGCATTTAGAAGGGGATTTGAGAGCGCGCTGTTGTATGCGAGCCCAGATTTGCGACTGGGACAGACGGGAGAAGACTTGGGTAATAAACATGTATGAATTGAGATCTTGTTATACTCTTAGAAATTACTGAGGACACCAAAGAGCTTTTATTTAGGCAGGATTTATCTATCAATATGTGTTGCCATGTTACAAATTAAAACTGAGAACAATTTATAGTTATCTATGAATTCATTCAAAAATAACAATAATAGCCCGGCAGGTGTGGCTCAGTGGATTGAGTGTGGTCCCGTGGTTGTCAGCTTGATCCCCAGTGTGGGGCATGCCGGAGGTAGCCAGTTGATGTTTCTCTCTCATATCGATGTTTCTACTTCTTTCTCCCTTTCTTTCTCTCTAAAAAATCAATTTAAAAAAGCATTAAAAAAAGATAAGAATAGCCCTGGCCGGTTTGGCTCAGCGGTTAGAGCGTCGGCTTGCGGTCCTGAGAGACCCGGGTTCGGTTCCCACTAAGGGCGCGTACCTCGGTTGCAGTTTGTCCCCGGCCCTGGTCGGTCGTGCGGGTGGCAGCCACTCGATGTGTCCCTTTCACATCGATGTTTCTCTCTCTCTCTCTGTTTCTCTCTCTCCCTCCCGCTCTACCTGAACAAACAAAGAAAAAAGATAAGAATAATAAAACTGTTACATGTTAACCTCAATAACATGTTTATGAAAAATATATTTTCTGAAACCAAATAAGTTAGGAAGAAAAATAGCATTGTTTTACATGTTTTCAAATCTCTTCAACATCTGGCTTAACAGAAAACTGCTGGATTCTCTGATGTGTCCTCATGTTCTGTGTTGTGATATGTTTTGGTCGAAGTTGGAAAGGGGTCCTTCCATAGCTTTGTCAGATAATTGTGCATGTCTTTCTTAGCTAATACATTAAAACAGGACAGGTGTGCCCTGGCTGGTGTGGCTCAGCGGTTGGAGCGTTGGCCTGCGGTCTAGAGAGACCCGGGTTCGGTTCCTGCTAAGGGCATGTACCTCGGTTGCAGTTTGTCCCCGGCCCTGGTTGCAGTTGTGCGGGAGGCAGCCACTCGATGTGCCCCTTTCATGTTGATGTTTCTCTCTCCCTCCCTCCCTCCCTCCTATCTGAACAAAAATGGAAAAATGTCCTTGGGTGAGGATAAAATAAATAAATAAAACAGGACAGGTGGTAGTTTATTATTATGTTTTCTTTATTGATTTTAGAGAGGATGGGGGAGAGAGAGAAACATTAACCAGAGAACATCCATTGGCCACCTCTTGCACGCCCCCTACTGGGGATTTGGCCCACAACTTGGGCATGTGCACTGACTGGGAATCGAACCAGCACCTCTCAGTCTATGGGACACTGCTCAGTCTCTGAGCCACACCAGCCAGGAGGTGGTAGTTTCTTAAAGGCTGGTTGTAATGTGGAACCTGAAACCATAGCAATGAACTTTTTATTCGGTCACACTAAAATCTATTGGTGTATCTTGCACTTTGCCCGGATATTTTACCCATTGTGTAACATCATATATTGGTCATTTGGAAATACTGGTTTATTGACTTGTGCAGCTCTTCCAAATGTTATCACGAGTCATTATATAAAACCAGGAAGCCACATTTGTTAATATCCTCACCGATTTCACCAGGAAAGTCTTTCAACATCTCGAGGCTGTCAAGCACCCGGTGGCAGATCCAAGATATCCCGAATTCCAGTTTTCGCTTTGACATTTGAATTTTTATCATTGGCAACCAATACTGGTAGCTGTTTTTCTGGATGCGACAGGCTCACTCTGTTCATTTTTGAGAAGACGCCTGCTGGACACCCAGGCTGAGTAACGCTGGTTTTGTCTGTCAGTGGTTTCTTCAAGTAAAAATAGCGTTCCGTGAAAAAGTGGCCAGCTTTGCTCACAACTCGATGGCACAGTGCTCTTCTGAGACAGCTGTCGCACTTTGGTGTGCAGCGGGGTGCGTACTTCCCATTTTGTCACACAGAGTACTACAAAGCTGTGTACGCAAGGGTTGAGATGCAGTGAAATTAATAATTTTTTCGGCATCATCGAGTACATTCTGAGGTTTCGTTTCCTGTGTTTTATCTATTTGTCTGTCTGTCTATCTGTCTATCTGTTTGCTTATTTCTCCCTCCCGGTCCCCCGCTGAGACCGCATGGATCGGAGAGTGCAATGCCTACCAGAACATTTGCCGCCGCTGGCTGAGTTTCTGCTAATGGGCACCGGCGTGTTTACCCACCATTACTTTTGCACCATTAGTGCGGGTGTCAACACAGCACAAATGGCAAATGACATCTTAGCGTTATTATGCAAATGGTTTCACCTCTTGGATTCCCTGGAAGGGTCTCAGGGATCGTCACCAGGGTTTGACGGACAATACTTGGACAGGCACAGTCCCAAGCTGTCCCCCACGGTTGAGCATTCAGGTTCTTTCTTATTTCTCCCTCTGGTGATGTTGTGCCAGCACCTTGGACAGGGCTATCTTGCTGTCGGGTGTGGTGTAGGGAAGCCCAGCTAGCCCAGAGAACAGGTCCAGGCGTGGCCCATGTGTGTGGGTTGGGTGCTCTGGGTATGGCCCTGGTGGGTCTTGTAGTAGCTCCTCTCATCCTCTCCCAACAGAGCAGTGAATCGGTCACCCTTGACCTGCTGACCTACACAGATCTGGAGTCCCTGCGGAACCGAAAGATGGGGGGCTGCCCAGGCCCCTTGGCCTCGAGGTCAGCCCAGCTCAACTCCAAGCGCTACCTGATCCTCATCTACTCTGTGGAGTTTGACAGGTGGGACAAAGGGCTGGCTTTAGGTCCAGGCTGGTGGACAGGTGGGAGATGATGTGTTTAGACCTCAGGAACACCTGGTACCCAGGGCAGGGTAGGGATGTTGCTTAAACCTTGCCTTTGGAATCTTCAGTGTTGAGGTTTGCATCATTTAATGAGATGTTTAGGCATTTGGGGGCAATTCAACAGTTTCATTAGGGACTCGGGCCCCTTGTGTTTTTTTGTTTGTTTTCTTTTGTCATCCTTAACATGTTGGCTTTTTGATTTCATCCACATCTCTTCATGGTCACAAAATGGCTGCTAGATCGTCAGGCATTGCATATGTATCAAAGCAAGAGGAAGGGCAACAAGGCTGTGCTTGCTAATTACATCTACTGTTTTTATTAGGAAAACAAAAGTGTTCCCAGAAGACTCCCAACAGATTTCCTATATTTGTCCAATAATGGTCACGTGGCCTTTCCCATAGTACTTGGCCTGAAGTGGTCACATGAAAGGGATGCTGGGAAAAGAGTATCTGGCTGTCTGTCTGTATAGCAGGAGGCAGCAAGGGAGAAGGGAGCTGGGAATGGCAGTCAAGTCGCTGGGCACAGCGTCTGCTCCCTTTGTTAATAACAGATCCTGGAGTTTCTATCGGGAAGTTATCAGTCTTCTATGAATGGCACCTCGTGGGGCAGTTAATCAAGGTGCCCTACCTTTCTCCAGCCAAGGGGGACTCAGGTCAGGTCATCCAGAGTCTCCTATTATGGAATCTCAGTTAGGATTGCGCTTGGCTGCGAGTTACGTGACCCGGTGGTTCCACATTTGCTATATAAGAGGGTCTTGGGGGGGCCGACTGGTGCCAAAGGGGCAGGGAGGGGGTTCACAGCTGCATTGGGGACTTGAGCCTTTAGGAATGTGAGGTTATTGGAACTGTGTGTTTTTGTACCCTAAGGCTCTCAGAGTCTGGTAGATACCCTTGGGGATGCTTGGCCTCTGAGATGCCATGGTTCTAATCCTCCCCAGGATTCACTACCCGCTGCCCCTCCCGTACCAGGGCAAGCCGGACCCCGTGGTCCTTCAGGGCATCATCCGCTCACTGAAGGAGGAGCTAGGCCGCCTTCGAGGGCTGGACGGCCAGGACCCTCGGGACACCCGGGATTCCGAGATCTGGCACCTTCGGGAGCAGTGAGTCTGGAAGGGGTGGGCAGTTGGGGCTGGGAGGGCACATCCCATCATGCACTCCGGGCCCCTATGCTCAGCACTGTTGGGCGGATGGCGGTCCCTCATTCACTGAATATATATTCTGAGCTCTCTTCTGTGCCTGTCTTGTGCTGGGTGGTCCTGGGGACACAGTGGTGATGGAGAACATCCTGGCCCTGCCCTCCTGGGACTCCAGTCCCATGGGGGAGACAGATCTGAAGGTGCAGAATGGACAGGGTGGGGGATCCCAGAAAGGGGACCTGACCTGGCGTGGTCAGGGGTGGTATTCCAGGGAACAGCATGTGCAAAGACAGGGTGGGAAGTAGTGCGATATTCAGTGCCTCTTTTGTGCTGTCCCCTCCCTGCCCCCCATGTGAGTGACCACCACAGGGGGCAGGTAGACGTTGACCACATAAGCGCCCAGATATATCATCGCAAAGGGAGCCTGTGCTGTGGAAGGCTACAACAGGAACCTGGTGGGTCTCGATGGGGGCCAGAGAAGGGGATGGGCAAGTGTTCTAGGCAGAGGGAACGGCATGTGCAAGGTGTTAGCTGGGAAGGTGGTGAGAACAACGGGACTGAGAGAGTGAAGTGAAGAGAGCAAAGGCTTTTGACGTATTGAGCGCCTGCTGTGGGCTGATGGGAAGCTGAACTCGGTCTCCATCTGGGGGAGGCCCCAGACACTGGGGAGGACTAATATTTTTAATAGTAATAGTAGTAGTGAACATAATAATAATAACAGTAATACCAGTAGCCAGTGTTTTTGAGCATTTAACTGGGTGCCGGGGTCGACGCTCAGTGCTTTATGATTTTAATTCATTGAATCCTCATAAAGTGGGCGTAGGCATTGCTGTCGTCCATGTTTTATAGAGGAGGAAACTGAGGCCCGGAGAGGTCAGAGGACTTGCCCCAGGCCACACAGTGAGTAATACGGCCAGGTTGGACCGTGCATCCGGGCAGCAGCGCCACGCCCCCTCGCGTTCCCAGCCACTGCCCCTTTGGCAGCTGCTAGCCCAGGACTGAGTCCTCAGTGCTGACGGGGAGGACCAGCCCCTCCCTTCCCGGGTGTGAGAGCTCGGGGCTGGAGAACCCTGTGGGTCTTCCTAGAGGAGCTTGGCTGTGCAGCACTGGACGCAGGATAAACTTGACCTTCAGTTCATCCTCAGGAGCTACGCTCAGGTCAAGCTGGATGTGCCGGCGTGAGTGTGTTTCCCAGGCAGGCCACAAGGTGGCGCCCTCTGCACTGAGCTCCTACAGCTTAATAGTGGCTCTTTTTTTCTTCCCAGTTTGGAGTTAGGAAGTTTGGGAAGACTCCAAGATGTATTCATTCATTCACCCAACATTTAACGAGTTCACACTGCATGTCAGGCACACCACCTGGCACTATTAATGTTTATTAAGCCCTGACTCAGTGCCAGACTTGGTCTAAGCACTCTTCCTAGATTGCTACAACTTTATTGAATTTTAGAGAGAGAGGGAGAGGGAGAGAATGATGAGAACATTGATTGGCTGCCTCCTGCATGTCCCCCACTGGGGATCGGGCCCACAACCTGGGCATGTGCCCTGACCAGGAATCGAACCGGTGACCCCTTGGTGCATGGGTCGACGCTCAACCACTGAGCCACACCAGCTGGGCGATTGCTACAACTTTATAGGTATTTATTATTACTGTCGCACTTCACAGAGATGTGAAGTGAAACTGCCCAAGGTCACCCAGCTTGTAATAAGTGTAGCAGAGTTGGATGTAGGCAGCCTGGTTGCAGAGTCCAGGTTCCTTCCCAGTGGCCAAACAGCTGGTGACTGTCCTCATGGGGGGAGGATCCAGACAGAAAACAGATAGTCACACTGACAAACACCAGCTAGGAAGCTAGGAAGGAAATGTACAGGGAGCCAGGAGAGCAGAGAACAGGGACATGACCCAGCCTGGCTGGGGGCGGGCAGGCTTCCCTGGGAGGTGATGTTGGAAGGATGAGTGGACTCATTCCTGTCTGGAGAAGGAGAGTTCCAGGAGGGAGCTGCATTTGCTAAGAAAAGCTTGGCTGGAGCACCCCAGAAGAGGAAGGTGGGAAGAGTGGGGGAGGAGTCTATCTGCTGGAAAGGGCTGAATGGAAAGCTCCTTGGAGACTTTGGGGGAGCCACACATTTTGAAAATCATTTTATTAGGAGAAATTTCAAGCACACACAGAAGTAGACAGTAGTATAATGTGCATTTATCTGTGTCCCAGTTTCAACGGCCATGACATTTTGCCTATCTCGATCTATGTTCCCCCCTCTCCCCTGAGAGGCAAATTCCAGACATTTCTCCTCTGTAAATGCTTCACTGTGTATCCTTAACATACAAGGACATTTAAAATAAAAGCAGAAGCACTGTTACCACATACAGCAAAATTAACAAAAATTCCTAACGTGGGCGTGTGTTGACACTTCTCTGATTATCTTACAAATGTCTTTTGTAATTGGCTTATGTGAATTACTATCCAAATATGGTGACACATTTCAATTTATTGATGTGTCTCTTAAATCTCTTTTAATTTATTACAGTCTCCTCCTTTTTTCATGCTACTTATTTGTGGAAAAAATCAGGGTAGCCCTGGCTGGTTTGGCTCAACGGTTAGAGCGTTGGTTTGTGGACCAGAGAGACCCGGATTCGGTTCTTGCTGAGGGCATGTACCTCAGTTGCAGTTTGTTTCCGGCCCTGGTTGGGGTCGTGTGGGTGGCAGCCAGTTGATGTGTCTCTCTCACATTGATGTTTCTCTCTCTCTTTCTCCCTCTCGCTAAAAAAAAAGACAAAAAAATAAATCAATAAAAATTTAAAAAGCCAGGGCATTTGTTCCACAGTGTATACTACATTCTGGATTTTATTGATTTTATCTCCATGGTTAATGTATTGCTCTGTCTTTCATATTTCCTGTGAAGTGGTTATCAAACCTATAGGCTAATCGGATTCAGGGTTTTTTGTTTTTTTTTATTCTCACCAGAGGACATTTTTCCATGTTTTGTTCAGATAGAGTGGGAGGGAGAGAGAGAGAGAAACACCGATGTGAAAGGGACACATCAAGTGGCTGCCTCCCACACGACCCAACCAGGGCCAGGGACAAACTGCAACCGAGGCACATACCCTTAGCGGGAACCGAACCCGGGTCTCTCTGGACCGCAGGCCGACACTCTAACCACTGAGCCAAACCGGCCAGGGCCAGAATCAGGGTTTTTGAAAGACACCTTCCTTGGTGGTGGTGTTTACCTGCCTCCTGTCAGGAGCTCTGGTTTCTTTTAGTGGGAAATTGTATTTAGAGATCACAGTCTGGTTGTTAGGGGTGCTTATTGCCACTGGGTTGACATTGTTTTCAGGCCTTTTAGTGGAAAGAGCCTGAAGTAGATACATTCTTAGAAAGAGAAAAATGACGTCTGTGTTTACTTAACCTCTTTGATTTGTATGTCTTTTCTCATACTGAAATTTTAGTTTCTAGTAATACTAACATAATTATTTTCTTTATCCTGATAATACCAATATAATTACTGAATAATAAGAGTACTTAATGAATTTTAAGATTTCTTTGCAGTACTTTTCTATTTATTACCATTTAGAGTGGGAGGGGGAGAGAGAAAAACATCAACTGGTTGCCTCCCACAGAACCCTAGACTCTGATCCATGGGCGGATGCTCTAACCGCTGAGCCAAACCGGCCAGGGCTTGAGCCTGTTTTTGTTTTTAATTTTTTTTTTCCTTTATTGATTTTAGAGAGAGAGGAAGGGAGAGGGAGAGAGAGATAGAAACATCAATGACAGAGAACATCAATTGGCCGCCTCCTGCATGACACTGGGGATTTGACCCACAGCTTGGGCATGTGCCCTGACTGGGAATTGAACTGGCGACCTCTTGGTGCATGGGTTGATGCTCAACCACTGAGCCACACCAGCTGGGCGGATGTACTATAGAAATTTAACTAGTTCTTTGTTGATGTACATTTTGGTTATTTCCACTATTTTGCTATTACAAATAGTGCTGTATATAATAGCCTGTGTGTACATCTTTTTCTCAATGAAGGGTTTTGAGCACTGAGGTGACTTGATTGTATTTGCATTTTAAAGAACGAGTCCTCTGGTGAATGGGAAGCAATGAGACCCCGCTAAGGGGCCAGGGGAAGGCTGGACTCTGGTCAGGACCTTGGGGTGAGGCTCTGAGGGTATACAGCAGGACAGATCAGTGATGTATTTTGGAATTAGAACTAAACACGGCTGTGTCCTCCTAGGGATGGATAGGGGTGATGTGGCCATGATCCTCGTTATATGAGGGAGGTGGAGGAGGGGAGGTGATGGGACCATGGGGGCAGCTGGGACTGGTGGGTTTCCCCTTTGCGGGGGAGATGAAATAGTGGTGAGTGCCCACCCCCCTGGAGGAATGGGGATGAAGGGACCATGCTCCTCTGGTCCCCCCAGCTCTCGCTTTCTTCCCTCTATCCCCTCCACCCAGGGTGTCACGTCTGGCTTCTGAAAAGCGAGAGCTAGAGGCCCAGCTGGCCCGATCGCGCGAGGAGGCGCTGGCCGGGCGGGCGGCGCGCCAGGAGGTCGAGTCGTTGCGCGGACTCGTGCGCAGCCTGGAGCTGGAGCTGCGGCAAGAGCGCGGTCTCGGGCACCGTGGGTCCGGCCGCCGCAGCCAGGACTGCCGCCGCCTGGCCAAGGAGGTGAGGGCGCGCTGCGGCCGGTGGGGGCGACTGGTGGGGCGCAGACCTGGGCCTCAGGCTGGACCTCTGCTCGCTCGTCCATTCCCTGCAGCTTGAGGAGGTGAAGGCGTCAGAGCGGAGCCTGCGCGTCCGGCTGAAGACGCTGAACAGCGAGCTGGCCTCTTACAGGAGAGGGTAAGGGGCGTGGCCCGGGTGGGCGGGGCCTTGGAGCCGCAGACCTGGCCTGCAGGTGGGCTTGGGGGCCAGCCGGGCTGGGCGGAGTCTGAGGGAGGTTGGGCGGAGCCCGGGCTGGATGGAGAGGGTGGGTGGAACCTGAGAGTGGGCGAGGATGGAGGGGGAGGCGGGGCCTAATGGACTGCACGTGGCGAGGCGGCCTCGGATAGTTGGAAAAGGTGAGTAGGGTCTGGGCTTCAGGCGACATTCAGGAGCTCGGGGCTGGACGACAGGACTGGGAAAGGGGCGGAGTGTGAGGGTCTAGCTGAACCAAAGGGCGTGGCCCAGCAGGTGGGAATCTGGGTGATTTCTGCAGGTTTTTGTTGGGGGTGGGTGGTGGAAAATTGGTGAGGGAAACCAGGGAGCGGTGGGAGACCTCAGCAAGAAGGGCCAGGTGAAGGGGGTGGTGAGGCTGTAGGGAAGTGACAGGTAATGTTTTTAGGAAAGGGTGGTGGGGCTCTGAGAGGGGCAGAGCCTAGAAGATTCCGTGAGGGTCGTATGCATGTGCGGGGGCATGAATATCTAGACATTGGGGGACCTGAAGGTTTGAAGATGGTGACGTTTGGAAAGAGGCCTGGGATAGAAGTTGTCATGGCCGGTAGGACACTGACAGTGGGGTCTTTTGTTCCCAGGAGACGGACTCCACCTGTGGTGCCGCACCCAGTCCGGGACGACCGGGCTTCATCGTCCCGGGAACGCTCCACGTCGCGTGGCCGTGGCGCCACCCGCTCCTCATCCCGGGAGAGTGGCCGTGGGGGCCGGGGTCGAGGCCGCCCTGCCCGCCCCTCGCCCTCGCCCACAGGTCTGTGCCAGCCCTGCCCTGCCCGAGGGAGGAGGTGGAACGGACTAGAGTGGTGGAGGCGTGATCCTGTGACCCCAGCCTTTTCTCCACCCCATCCTAGGTGGTCGCTTGCCCCGTTTTGACCCCACAGCCTTTGTGAAAGCCAAGGAGAAGAGGCTGAGAGAGATCAAGATGAAGTGAGCATCCATTTCCTCCTCCCTTGCCCATATCTCTGCCCCTTTACTTGGTCCTCTGATCTGTCCTCACCTCCCATCTGTCTCCATCACCTGTCACCTGCTCCATCTCTCCCCTTCCCTCATGTGACCTCAGGTGGGTCACCAGCGACGCCCTTCCCCACATTACTAGGCACACCGGCGTGAGTCTCCTTTTGATTCCTCAGGCAGCAGCAGCGGCAGCAGCAGTGGAACCGGTTGGGCAGTGGAGGGAGCGGGGATGGGCCAGCCGTCTCCTGGGCTCGCCAGACTCGTCCCCCCGCTGCGGTGACTGGCCGAGGGGATGCAGCTAACCGCTCCCGAAACCGGAGCTCCTCGGGTAACCGGGCGGGCGCGTACCGGCAGCAGGTGGGCTTGGCGGGGGCCGGAACTGCGGGGGGTTCGCCTCACCTTCTCCTTCTCCCTCTAGTGGACAGTTTCCGCAGCCGCTGCTCGTCTGCCAGCTCCTGCAGCGACTTCGAGGATTTCTCGGAATCCCTCGCTAGAGGGTAAAACTTGGGCTGGAGGATAGGACAACCCCATACAGGCGGCTGGGGAGACTGGCGACAGTCTTTTGCAGGGAAATTCAGTGATGGAGACTTGAAACCTTGGAGGAGGGTGAGGTGGGAGGTGCCAAAGACTCCTCCCATTGGTCCCCAATTCCTCCCTCCTTAGCATTCGCCGCCACCCCAGGAAGCCCCCCAGCCCCACAACCTTGAGTGGGTCCAATGCGGTGAGTGTTTTCCCTCAGGCCTTGGAGGAGGTAGGGGCAGCATGAAAACCGGAGAAGCCGCTGCTCCCTCCTCCCTGTTCCATTCTGGGGATCAGGCTGCAGAGGCGCCCCTGAAGTGCCTCTGGACACCGCTTCGCTTCGAGATCACTGCATTGGAGGGCAGGATGGGGGTGGGGTGGGGGGGGGGCCGAGGACGCTGATTAAGAGCATCAGTCTGGCCACAAATTGCTTCCTACCACCTGTGTGACTCCAAGGTGGTTTCTCAGCCTGTGTGCTTGTTTCTTTATCAGTTAAATGGGGATGGTAATAGTAGTCACCCCAGAGGGTTTTGGTGAAGATACAAAGTTATTTTATGTGGGTGCCTAATAGGTGTCAGCTCTTACATTTTCTGAGGTCGTTAGGTTCAGAATTTCTGGTAGAATTTGGGGGGCAGGGGTAGAGGGAGGGTGCCAGACTCCTTTCATGCCTTCCCTAGTTACAGAAGTCCATCCCGGTGGAACGGGGCCGCCATCAGAGACGCCTGGCCAATTCGGGGGGCTGGGTCCCCTCCAAAGGTAAGCCCAGGACTACACATCTCTTCCTCACATGCCCCAGAGCCTGCTGGGGTGGTACCAAGGGCAGCATATTGGCCCCGGAGCTCCCTGTGGTTTCAGGCCCCTCAGAGCCGCCCCCACCCACGCTTGTTCTCACAGAGTACAGCTCTGACTACCAGGCGGCCGACATGGCCGAGATAGACGCCCGTTTGAAGGCCTTGCAGGAATACATGAACAGACTGGACACGCGGGCGTGACCTCGGCGAGGGAGCCGGGCCCCTCCATCCCCTGCCCACCGCTGGATTCGACTTGGGGGCGGACCAGTGTGTACTTCCAGCCCTGCCCCTCCTGGTGTTCCTGGGGTCTCAGGTGTGTGAGGCCCTTTCCCTCCTGCTCCTTCAGGCATTGCATTCTGGGAGGGAGGGTTGTGCATTTTGTAAATAAACATATTTGTCCTTGGGATCCCTCAGCTTATGACTGAAGGTGTGGGTGGAGGGGGGAGATATGAAGATTGGGGGAGGTATAGTTGGTACCTTTGTGCATTTCTGGGCATGTCTGTGGCTGGGGGAGGGGCAGATTGGGGTTCAGGCTCAGGAAAAACCTTGTACTCTCTAAAGCAGTGAAAGTTGGGGACCTGCAGGGTGGTAGTGAGCAGCCCATCCCCAGAGGGGTCCAAGCAGAGATTCTGCACGGGTGTCTCTGGCTGTGTGGTGGGGAGGGGTGTCTTGCAGCATGGTTCACTACTAGGGAGGACCCCGAGCTGCTGCCAGTGACATCTGGGCTGGCGTGGTGCTGACTCCTACACTCCGACCTCAGACCTCTGGGTTCTGAGCTGGGATCTCTCGGGTCTTGGTTCAGGGTCGGGGCCTCTGGGTTCTGAGTACCAGGGAGGACAGAGTGCTGGAGGGTGGGGTGGTGGTGGCTGAGGCCTCTGGGAGGGAGATGGGGAGGGGAGGTGTGTGGCAGGACACAGGAGCACAGTTTCGAGTTGCACCTTTATTGGAGGGGGAGGCCATGGGTTTCTGACTGGGGGTGGAGGCAGCCAGGGCCTCACCCCCTGTATTGTGGCCACTCCTGGATGAGTTCGTAGAGCCGGTCGCCTGGAGAGAGCGTCTGCTGCACATCCCGGTGTCCTTTGACTTCGTAGTTGGGCATCAGAGCTCCCTGAGCCACTCCACAAGCCAGCAGACTCTGGGCAGCCCTGATGGCCCGGGGTGGGGGCACCCGCTCTAGGGGGGAAGAGGCAGGAGTTAAGCTGGGGCTTCCTCGAAGGGCAGAGGTAGTGTGGGGTAGTGGTTCCAATTGTGCTTTCCCAGCTGGCCTGCTAGAGCCCAGAACCCAGTCTGCCACCCCCTAGCGGTGACTTAACCTCTCTGCCTCAGTTTCCTCATCTGTGAAAGGAGAGAACAGTGGCACCTAAAATGAGTTACTCTCTGTAAAGCCCACAGAATGGTACATGGCACAGCAGCTGCTGGCTGTCAGGACTATTGCTCATTCTCCTCCGTCCCCAGGCCTTTGGGTCCAGCCCACAACAATGCTGTCACAAGCACTCCTTGGGTGCCGTGGACGGGCCTAAGGACTTTTATATAGAATAATGTCCTCATGCGAACCATGTGGCTGAAAATGGTCATTATCCAGGAAGGAAGAAATGAGGCCCAGAAAAGCAGAGCCCTTGTCCAAGGTCACAGAGCTTGTAGGTGGCAAAGCCCTCACACCATGCGGTGCCACCCCCCCAGGCCCACGTCACCCCCCTATCCTGACCAGCTGGACGGTCACCCACCCATGTAGTTGCCCATGAAGGTGATGCCGATGGATATGGGGTTCCAGGCGCGACCTGCGTGGTCACCCTTGACCTTCCAGCCCCGGCCTTCGTACACAAGCCCATCTTCTCCGATCAGGAAGCTGTGTGGGGGTGAGGGAGATTGATGAATGAGGGAGGGCTTCCTGGGAGAGGACTCCTCCTCCTCCTCCTCCCCTGCCCCTCCCCCCCGCCACTCACACACATTTTCCTCCACACCCTCCTTATCCCCAATGACAGTGGCTCCTAAAATGCCAAGCACAGCTCTGTATGCACCTTTTTTCTTTTCTTTTTTTTTTTTTTTTTATCCTCACCCGAGGACATTTTTCCATTTTTTGTTCAGGTAGAGTGGGAGGGAGAGAGAGGAAGAGAGAGAGAGAGAGAAACATCGATGTGAAAGGGACACATCGAGTGGCTGCCACCCTCACAACCAACCAGGGCCTGGGACAAACTGCAACCGAGGTACGCGCCCTTAGCGGGAACCAAACCCGGGTCTCTTGGGACCGCAGGCCAATGCTCTATCCGCTGAGCCAAACTGGCCAGGGCTGTATGCACCTTTTTTTTATCCTCACAGCAAGTCTTTGGTCACTACTGTCCTCATTCTGTAGGTAATCAGAGGGGAGACACCTGCCCATGGTCACGCAGCCAGTCTGGGGCAGAGCCAGGATTTTCTCCCAGGTCCTCCTGACTCCCACCCCCAGGATCTGACTCCTTGCTCTGTGCTGCCTCCCGGGGGGACTTCTGAGCTCTGGATCTGCTGAGTCCTCACATGCAGTGGTCCGAGGCAGGCACTATTGTCATCCCGCTCGCTCAAAGGGGAGGAAGCTGACTTAGAAAGAGGTGATTTTCCCGGAGTCGTGCCCCCAGGCCCCCGCCTCGGAAATCTCCACTGAGAAGCTCTAATGGCCTCCCCCCAGTCTGCTTCCGGCTGCCTGCTAGGGGTCCACTCGGGGTGTCAGGATCAGGGACTGAAGGGCTGGGGCCACAACCAGACACAGACCCTGGAGCCCCAGCATCTGCTCCTTGAGATTTCTAATCCTGGCAAGTCCTTAGGACTCTCATTCAGCGCGTCTTGACTGAGCGCGTCTGGCCTGGCACGTCGGGTGAACTGGCTCAGCCAGCATCTTTGGAAAAGCAGTATATGCCACGTCGGCCCTGGAGCTCACAGGTCACCAGTGACGTACTGCGTGCTGCAGCTTCTGGATCTCAGCTCCTGAATCTGCCGCTTGGGAAGCCAGACTCAGAATCTGGCGCTGAAGAGACTAGACATAGTGGCCCTCGGGGCTGGGCCGGTGATAGCTCTCATGTCCCCGGCACCTGGCAAAGGCGATCGGTGTTCCTTGCGCATTTGTTAAGTGGATGCATCTCATTTAAACCTTCACCACCACCAGGTGGGTGCAGTCGGGAGCCTCAGTTTACAGGTGAAGAGCTGAGGCCCTGAGAGAGAACGTGACATGGCAAGGAAGGAGGGTTCAGGACGTTTGGATCCGACTCTGAACCCTCAGATCTGAGAAGCAGGTTGCAGCCTGCTCTCCTGGAAGGAGATTTAGGCCAGAGACTGGAGCCAGGCCCTGGGCTTCATTACTTTCCGGGAACACAGAATCGGGACACGTGGAAACCAAACCTTGACGTGGGAACCTTTGTCCTTTTTTTTTTTAATCCTTACCCGAGGGTATGTTTCCATTTATCTCCAGATAGAGTGGAAGGGGAGGGGGGAGACAGAGAGAGAAACATTGATGTGAGAGAGATTGGCTGCCTCCCACACGACCCCGACCAGGGCCGGGATGAACCACAACCGAGGTATGTGCCCTTGGCCGGAATTGAGCCCGTGGCTCTTCCACGGGCTGACGCTAACCGCTGAGCAAACCGGCCAGGGCTACGTGGGAACCTTTGAATTGTAAACTCTTGAGCCAGAAGAGCTGGGATGCCCTTGGAGGCTTCTAGAGTTCTCTAAGTGAGGTTCCCAGATTCCCCCAGCCTCCCCCCCCCACCCACTGAAGCCTTCCAAGGGTGGGACCTGGGAACCTGTATTTCCAGGAAGGTGATTCTGGTGTTTACCAAGGTCTGAGAACCTGTAGTGCACAAATGTTCTCTCATGCTGGATACTAGCCTGTAAATGGAGCTGGTGGGCATGGGTCCCAGAGGCCTATCTAATCAGTACCCTTCATGCCCTAGAGGGAGCTTCTTATATCTGAGGAGGGGCACGTCCCTCCCTTGACTCCCGCCTTCCTCAGGAGATGAGGACTCAGTGGCCCACGGGCCCTGTGTCACCCAGCCCCTCCCACTTCTGCCTCATTGCACATCACCCTCCCGGCCACCGCCTAGCCCTGCGCTCTGGCCTTCAGGCATGACCTGCTCCCTCCCCTCGCAGCCTTCATCTCTGTGGCACCCCTAGCTTACTATTCCCTCAACTCCCATCCCAGAGCCACCATAATGGGAAGCCGGCCCCTCAGCCTTCCAAAGGCACCCCCGTCACTCTTCCATCGCTGCTGTTACCGTCTGAACTTCCTGTGTTGACTTGGGTTCTCTTTGCTGGCCTTTAAATCCGGTCGGGTTAGATTCTCACCGCTTGTGGCTGTGTTCCCGTCCCAGCATTTAGCATGGCCTGGCACGTAGCTGGTGTCTAATGGCAACAGTCCAGCGATGTGGGGCTCCGACCACATGCCAGGAGGTGCCCTACGTGCTGTGCTGTTTGAGTTTAGTGATCAGGTGGACAGCAGCCCCGTTGACCGCAGTAGAAAGCCGAGGACAGTGGCCCTGGCCCGGTCTCAGGCTGTCATAAGCAGAGCTGGGGACTGGAACCAGGCTGGCTGGCTGCCTCCTAACTAAGGCACCAGACACTTTCGTGTGTGAGTGAAGTCAGTCCCTTCCTCCAGGGAGTAGAACTTGGACTTCAGCCCTGTCCCCTCCTCCTAGCATCTTTGTGCCCTATATGGTGACTCGGAGGAAGCTGTATGGGTGTCAGCCAGGTGGCCCCAGGGCTGTCGGGTTCTAGCTGGCTCCCAGCCGGCACTCCCTCCCCCACACTTACTTGTAGCCCACGTCGCAGAAGCCCAGGTTCTGCGCGTGGTAGTGATGCACGTTCTGGGCCTGCTGCCGGCACAGGGCCGGGGTGTTACAGGAGCTGCCCGCCGTGTGCGACACCACCACGTAGCGCACGGGCAGTGCCAACTCCTTGGCGCACTCGGACTGCCGGGCCCTCCACTCCTTCCCGGGCACGATGGGGCCACAGCAGGTCTGGTCTTCCGCCTCTGCGAGGCCCAGAAGGGCGAAGAGGGCCCAGGCCCGCAGCGCACAGCGCAGGGACATGGTGGGCAGGGCGCACAGGGTTGGCTATCAGCGCCCGCTGCCCGGAGCTGCCTTTTAATGCTGGGCTGGGAGGGGGGAGGGGGAGGGGGAGGGGGAGGGGGGGGAGGGGGGCTTGCTTCACACCCTGGCGGGACTTCCCTAGACTCTGCTTCCTTCTCTGGGGGGCTGCAACAGGATGCCTGTGGTTGGGTCTGAGGGAAGCCGGGAAGGGGAACCCGTGAGAAAGTCAAGGGGCCCTTCACCCACTGAGAGGGTGAGGAGAAGCTCACGGCCCCTGGGCACGGTGCCCTGTAGTTTCTGGAAGACTTGCGGCCTGGACCCTTGCCCAGCTTTGTCTCCTCTCAATGGGGCGTTGGACACCTCATCAGGAGCTTGACACCAGAGAGTAGCCCCGGGCCTCTTCCTTCTCCCAGCGGGGACTGCAACAGGTTGCCATTTTCTAGACGCTTCTCCCAGGCCCAAGCTCAATGCCATTTAACCTTTTCAGTAAACCAAAGAGGTGAGTGTTGAGAAGCCCATTTCACAGTTGAGTAAACTGAGGCTGGGAGAAGGGCAGTCATGCTGCTGAGACATGGTACGTAATAGAGCCTGGTGGCCCAGAGCCCGGATTCAGAGCCAGGCTGCGTGCATTTGAATTCTGGCTACACCCCAATGTGTGGGCTCAGGCAAGTGACCTAAGCTGTCTGTGCCTCAGTTTTCCCCACCTGCAAAGTGGGGGTTCAGTGGGATGACAGGGTGGAGCCCTCAGAGGATGCCTGCCTCTCCGGCCACAGGAGCAGCGCAGGGACTGGAATTCAGATGTGCCCGTGGTGGTAAGCAGCAGGCTTCACCGGGCGGGCGCCGCTGGCGGCTCCGTGCTGCGCAGGAGGGTCTGAGGGCCGGAGAGGGGCGCTCATTTGCCCAGGGCCACTCAGCGGCTTGGGGTCCCCTGTCCGGGCAGAAGGCTTTGCTGGAGCCTCTGCTCTGCTCGGGCTCCCTTTCCCACGTCCTCCTAGAGCACACGGTGAGATCAGAACAGACTGCCTGGTCGGCCCTTCCTCCCTTCCTGCTACTTTAGCGGATTAAAAAAAGATGACAATGCCCTGGTTGGTTTGGCTCAGCGGTTAGAGCATCGGTCCGCGGACCAGAGAGTCCCAGGTTCGGTTCCCGCTAAGGGCATGTACCTCGGTCACAATTTGTCCCCGACCCCGGTTGGGGTCGTGTGGGTGGCGACCAGTCAATGTGTCTCAGATCGATGTTTCTCTCTCCCCTCATCCCCCCACCCCCGCTCTATCTGAAGATAAATACTCGGTTGAGGATAAAAGAAATTTTAAAATAAAATAGCATACATATAGAAAAGTGTTTAGCCCTGGCTGGTTTGGCTCAGCGGTTAGAGCGTTGACCCGCAGACCAGAGGGTCCTGGGTTCGGTTCCTGCTAAGGGCACGTACCTCGGTTGCAGTTTGTCCCTGGCCCTGGTTGGGGTCGTGTGGGTGGCAACCAGTCGATGTGTCTCTCTCACATCAACGTTTCTCTCTCTCTCTTCCTCCCTCTCTCTCTCCCACTCTATCTGAAGATAAATGCAAAAATGTACTCGGGTGAGGATAAAAAAATAAAAAACTAAAAAAAATTAATAGAAAAGTGTTCAAATGTACTTTTTACAGTTAATAGAACACATCTGTAGAGTCAATAGAATTAATAGAGTATAGAGCTCTATTAATTTTTCTACCATGAGCACATCATGTACCCAGCACTCAGAGCTACATCTAAGATATTAATAGACATTGCCAAACACCATTTCAGAAAAGTTTTAGTATTTCTTTCCCTCAGCAATGTGATCAGTTTTGAATTGCTTGGCCCACCTAGGGGATAGTATCTTATTAGTGTTTTAGTTGCATTTCCTCGAACATCAGAGGGGTGATCTTTTTTTTTCTTTACATATTTATGACTGCACCCGTCTTCTGTGAACTGTTTGCTCATCTTTTTCAATCACTTCCCTGTTGGGTTGTTGAATATGAGGGACATTAACCCTGTTTGTTTAATGTGCTGCAAACCTTTTTCTCAAGTCTATTAAAAAGTTTACTCTAGCCCTGGCCAGTTTGGCTCAGCGGTTAGAGCGTCGGCCTGCGGTCCGGAGAGACCCGGGTTCGGTTCCCGCTAAGGGCACGTACTTCGGTTGCAGTTTGTCCCTGGCCCTGGTTGGTCGTGCGGGTGGCAGCCACTCGATGTGTCCCTTCACGTCGATGTTTCTCTCTCTCTCTCTCCCTCCCACTCTATCTGTACAAAAAATGGAAAAACATCCTTGGGTGAGGATAAAAAAAAAAAAAAAGTTTATTCTTTTCTTTTATAGTTTCTGTGTTTCCTTCCACACCAAGATGATCTTTCCATACCAAGATGATAAATATTTGTCTATTTTAAAAAAATGTTATCTTGTGTTTTACTTTTAGACCTTTACCTCAGCTAGCATTTGTAGTTGCATATGGTGTGAGGTAGGGGTCTGACTTTGTTGCCAAATGGCTGCTCATTTGTCCCAGCACCATTTATTAAATAGTTATACCTGGTTTTAAATCTCAGCGTTACCACTTCTTAGCTGGATGACCTTGAGTAAATGGGCAGCATTTGATATAATTGACCACTTCGTTTTTCTTGAAATACTCACTTCCTTCAGCTTCTGTGTCACAAGAGTGTCTTGATTTTCCTTCTGCTTCTCTGGCTGGTCTTTTGTTCTCCCTTTCACTGATTGTTCCCTCCTGGACTGTTATACTCTACTTTTCTGCCAGGTGATCTTGTCCAGTTAATGGCTTCAGCCACTGAAATGCAGATGACTTCCAGATTTTTATGTCCAGCCCAGAGTTTGCAACTGAATTCTGTATCAGTGTGTCCACCTGCCTACTTAACATCACTTGGATGTCCCACAGGCACTGCGAATGCATGATTTCCCAAATGGTTCATGATTTATTATTCCAAAATGAATCCTCTCCCGAGAGTCCCTGTTTAACGGAATGATATGATCATCTTCCAGTTACAAAAGCCATACATCTGCCCTGGCTGGTTTGGCTCAGCGGTTAGAGCGTCGGCCTGCGGTCCGGAGAGACCCGGGTTTGGTTCCCGCTAAGGGCACGTACTTTGGTTGCAGTTTGTCCCCGGCCCTGGTTGGTCGTGTGGGTGGCAGCCACTCGATGTGTCCCTTCACGTCGATGTTTCTCTCTCTCTCCCTTCCTCTCTCTCCCTCCCACTCTATCTGTACAAAAAATGGAAAAAAAAAAAAAAGCCATACATCTGAGCACTATCTTTGACTGACCTCTCTTCTCTCCCCTCTTGTTTCCTGCACCAAAAACGATGTCTAGCACATAGCAGCTGCTCAATAAATACCAAATGATTGAATGAATATTTAATTCACCCCTGAGTCATGTTGCTGTTACCTCTTAAACATCTTATAAATTAGATCTCTTCTATTTCCACTATCTTCACCCTGGGGCAACTCCTGGCACCTGGAGTTTGCTCCCACCTGCTCAGTAACGTCCTAGTCTGCACCCTGGCCCCTGTGAAGCCAAAGCTCAGATCTGGTCAGGTCTTTCCTGAAGGTCACTTTCTAAACTGAACCACATTTTTTCTGTGGCTTCTCGTGACTCGTAGGATGGGCCCCAAGCTCTCCCTGTGGCCGCCAGCATAGGCTACCTTTACCCTGTCCCGCCTCCCTCACTCCCTCTTCCTGAGTCCCCAGCCACCTCACCCTTCTTGCTGCCCTTGAGGATGCTTTGACTGTCCTGCCCCGAGGGGACTTTGTACACACTGCACAAGATTTAAATAGAGGGAACTTGTGAAACTCGGAAACTTTGTACCTTGGTGTTAAGATTACAAAACACGTAGCTAGACTTTTGCAAATATTTGCACATCACATTTCATAATGATGCTAAGAATATAATCATTAGCCCAGGGGTGGAGTGAAGTCTTCCCTAGAATTTTATCTAGTCTATCTGGTCAGCCTGCAATTTCTCGACAGGCCGTGTGAGCATTTGTTTAAATGTTAATCAATGGGTAACTGTTCAATTGCCTTTAATCTTGGGGTTTTCTAACAGGAAATTACATTAGATTTACGCCTTATATGCTTTAGGAAGTTGAATTTTTAAGTATTTAGCTCATCGACTGCCTTTATTTGGTCTTGTTGTAATTAATTCAGCTAGTATAAAAACTCACCAGATTCTCCTACTGTTAGCAAAAAGAACACTTGTTTTCTTTGTTGTAGCGACAGTGATAGAAAAATTAAATGGTGATTATAGCAAGGACAAGTTTAAAACATTGCAGAATTTTCACTTTTTCCCTTGATGTTCCCAAGCCTGGGATGCTCACTCCCCCTCATTTTCCCCATCCTGTCACTTACTATTCCTTCTATGTCACCTCAGAGGTGACAAATCCCCGTTTGCTTCCCCCACACCATTTCTGCTCCTTCATAGTTATTATAACTAGTTATTAACTTACCTGTGCAACGTTGTGATTAATTTCTGACTCTCTTACTGTACAGCAAGGTCTGTGAAGAGTCATGGTGTAATTTGTTGTCCAAACCACGACACTTAAGAATAAAAGAGGGAAGCTATTAATTAGGCTGGGTCAACAGGTGTAGATGGACTGTCCCAAATAATCCAGTTTGAGTAATTTCCCCATTTAAAGACAGAGGCTCTCATTTCCCCTCTCCCTCATCATTGCACCCTCAGTTCCTAGCACACAGTTGGTGATGAAT